AGAGAGAACATAAGCAGAGGGAGTGGGAGAGAGAGAAGCGAGCTTCCTGCTGAGCAGGGATCCCAACTCGGGGCTTGATCCCAGGACCCTGGGATCATGACCTGAGCTGAAGGCAGACACCTAAAAACTGAGCCACCCAGGTGCCCCTAAATCTAGAATTTCTAATTAGATTTCAAAAGAATGCATATGTTTAGAACAGGGTACCTAGAAGAAAAAAAATCCTACCTCATCCGTTTGATGGATACATTCTCCTATGTAAGTTTTTTTTTTTTAAGATTTTATTTATTTATTTGCCAGACAGAGATCTCAAGTAGGTGGAGAAGCAGGCGGGGGGAGGGGAGCAGGCTCCCCACCGAGCAGAGAGCCCGATATGGGGCTCGATCCCAAGACCCTGGGATCATGACCCAAGCCAAAGGCAGAGGCCCCAACACACTGACCCACCCAGGCGCCCCTATGTAAGTTTTTTTAAATGTCATTTTAGTATATAGATTAGGCTCCTTGGAATTTGATTAATGCGAACTGATTTTTTTTTTAAGATTTTATTTATTTATTTGACACACAGAGATCACAAGTAGGCAGAGAGACAGGCAGAGAGAGAGAGGAGGAAGCAGGCTCCCTGCTGAGCAGAAAGCCCAATTTGGGGCTGGATCCCAGGACCCTGAGATCATGACCTGAGCCGAAGGCAGAGGCTTAACCCACTGAGCCACCCAGGCGCCCCATGATTAGTGCGAACTGATTTCTAAGGACAGTTTACCCCATATGAAACTGGGGTGTAGGAGGAATAACATCAAACGAGTGTTTATTCTGATATTATCATCTCTGACAAGTTACTTAATTTCTCCAGTGCTCAGTTTCTACAGCTACAAATGAGAGATTTGACTAGATGACATTATTTCTACATATGTAAAGCGAGGTTTAGATCAGAAGCACAAACTCAACAGCAATACGTAAGGCCACTCAAATAAGAGCTTTCAACCTGCTGGTATTAGTACAGAATAATCTCCAAGGGAGATTTCCACTCAAATATACTGTACCTAATGTTCCCTATTTAAAATAAATTATTTTGTAATAAAGCAAAGCATCATCTGCTAAGTTAAACATTTCATAGATTTGGAGTTTGTACATCCCCTGAAAGGGAAGCATTCTTGCTCAAATATCCTTAGCCAACAAAAAACTAATATTGTAATTCCATCGTCACTGGGAATGCAGTGGTTCTATTTACAGATGTGCTCCACCTTAATGCTCAGTTACCTAGCAGATGAGACCTAAAACACCCGCCAACATAGATGGACATTAATTTCAAAGCTTAGGCAGAACTGAAAATACACTGACAGATGAAGCCTATTAAGGAGACTTTGAAACAGTGGCTCCCAGGAGGTGGGAAGACATGCCACATTGAAATACCATTATCCCTATGGCTAGAGGGCACAGTTCTACTAGAGGATCACTAGGTTTTTTCCTTCTCTTTCAATCATAATATCATTCAGTGTGCAAAGTGTTTTCACACCTGCTTCCTCATTTTTATTTGTTTCTGATCTTCCTGTTACCCCCTGTGAAATAGGTAGGCCAAGAATTACTTCATTATAACATCTTACAAATAAGGAAGCCAAAACACAGAGAACTTATATGACTTGTCCAAAATGGGATTTATCTTCCATCTCATGTCTCAGAAACACATATGTTTTTACTTCAGAGAACTGACTGGCACCATACTGGAAATACTTCATATAATTTCCTTGTTTTTCCTTTTCAACCTGTTGGCTCTCTGTCTCTGCCTATCTTTGCCAACACTGTCTTCCTGATTAAACTGAAGGCAGGGACTATTCCTTCCTCTGTAATTTCACATGCAGTGCCTGGTACTGTGGCTGTTGGTCTCTGAAGTCAAGAACTACCGGTTCACATGGACTTAATCAAGACTTGGGAAAATAATTTAGACAAGTCAAGTAGGACTTACAGACCTTGATTTAATAAGCAATGATTAGAGATCATTAGCAACAAAATACGAACCAGTGTCTGAATCGGATTAGGTCAAGTCTCGAGCCAAGTGAAGTTAGTTAGTTAGACTACAGCCAGAATCCAACTGTGTCTCAACACTTCCACAGCTGGCTTGAGCAATAAGCATCTTTCATTTGGATTTCTGCGATAGCTTCCTAACAGGTTTCTCTGCTTTGACCCTTGCTCTGCTACAGTCTATTTCTAACACAGCAGTTCAGTGACCTTTTCTTTTTTTTTTCTTTTAAGATTTTATTTATTTATTTATTTGACACAGAGAGAGAGAGAGACAGCGAGAGAGGGAACACAAGCAGGGGGAATGTGAGAGGGAGAAGCAGGCTCCATGCTGAGCAGTGAACCCGATGTGGGGCTCGATCCCAGGACCCTGAGATCATGACCTGAGCTGAAGGCAGATGCTCAATGACTGAGCCATCCAGGTGCCCTGGTCCTTTCAAAACAAAGCCATCCATCACTCTTTCTGCTCAAAACCTTGCAATGTATCCCCGTTTTTATTTTAAGATTTTATTTATTTATTTGACAGAGAGAGACACACCGAGAGAGAGAGAGAGAGAGAAAGAGAGAGCACAGGCAGGTAGAATGCTAGAAGGAGAAGCAGGCTCCCCATTGAGCAAGGAGCCCAATGTGGGACTCGATCCCAGGACTCTGGGATCATGACCTGAGCTGAAGGCAGATGCTTAACCGACTGAGCCACCCGGGCATCCCTGGATCCCCATTTCAATCAGAATAAAAACCAAAGTCGTTAAACTAGCCTATGAGGCTCCTGATACAGGCCTGTTTCCTTTAGAACTTTCCTCATCTCCAACTACCCTGTGTTCACTCTATTCCAGTCTCATTGCCTTCCTGGCTTCTCCCCTAAAACCGTAACATGTCAGACAGACTCACTCTTTCTCAGGGCCTTTACCAGAGCTGCCCCTTCTGCCTACATCACTGCTTTCTCAGGCCTGTGCTTAGCTAATCCCCTACCTTCTTCAAGCCTTGCCTCACTTCTCATTTTCTCAAGGAGACCAGCTTGCATTGCTGGTAGCCCAGCCACCACCCACCTACACCCCCAGACTGCTCCCTAACCTTGCTCTGGTTTTAGTTTTGTTGTTGTTTTTTTTTTTTTTTCAGTAGCACTTACCCCCTTCTAAAGTAAAATAAAGTTGGGGCGCCTGGGTGATTCAATTAGTTAAGCGTCTGCCTTCAGCTCAGGTCACGATCCCCAGGTCCTGCGATCAAGCCCTGTGTCAGACTCTCCCTGCTCAGCAGGAAGTCTGCTTCTCCCCCTCCCTCTGCCTGCCACTCCCCCTACTTGTTCTCTCTCTCTCAAACATATAAAATCTTAAAAAGAAAAAAACAAAATTTACTGTATTTACAGTTGTCTGCCTCCCCTTGTCCCTCCTCAACCCTCCTTCCACCTTCCTTGGGCCCTTGCTAGAATGTATCAAACAGATATATCCAAAGTACTGAAGCAGTCCCTGGTACAGAATGGATATTCATTTAAAAATATTTACTTTCTTGGGACACCTGGGTGGCTCAGTCGATTAAGTGTCTGCCTCCGGCTCCGGTCATGATCCCGCAATCCTGGGATCAGGTCCCACATCGGGCTCCTTGCTCAGTAGGGAGCCCGGGTCTCCCTCTTCTTGCCACTCCCCTTACTTGTGTGCGCGCTCTCTCTCTCTCTCTCTCTCTCTCTCTGACAAATATTTTAAAAATATAATATTTACTTTCTTAAATAAAATATTCAAAGGGGGTCGCCTGGGTGGCTCAGCATGTTAGGTGTCTGCCTTTGGCTCGAGTCATGATCCCAGAGTCCTGGGATGGAGTCCTACATCAGGTTCCCTGATGAGCTTCTCCCTGCCCTCCCTTTGTGCCTCCCCCTGCTCGTGATCGCTCGCTCTCTCTCAAATAAGTGAATAAACAAAATCTTTTTAAAAAACTTACTTCCTGGGTTGCCTGGATGGCTGAGTCAGTTAAGCATCTGACTCTTGATCTCAGCTCAAGTCTTGATCTCAGGGTCATGAGTTGAAGCCCCATGTTGGGGGCCATGCTGGGCAGAGCCTACTTAAAAAATTTGCTTTCTGAAAGAATGAAATTGACAAGGTGCCTGGGTGGCTCAGTCTTTCACTGTCTGCCTTTGGCTCAGGCCAGTCCTGGGATTGAGCCCCACATTGGGCTCCCTGTTCAGTGGGAAGCCTGCTTCTCCCTCCCCTACTCCCCCTGCTTGTGTTCTCTCTCTCACTGTCTCTCTGTCAAATACATAAATAAAATCTTTAAAAAAAAAAAAAAGAATGAAATTGAGGAGCGCATGAAGCTGGGTGTTCTCTCCTTCCTCCACCTCCCTTGCTTTCCCCAAAAAGCTCTCAAAGAAGTTGACTTAAGACTTCAGTTAGATAGACCTGCAGCAAGCATTAAGGCAAATTATGGTATTTCACATTATTCCTTGGACTTTGGAGCCAACTTTTTTTTTTTAAAGATTTTATTTATTTATTTGACAGACAGAGATTATAAGTAGGCAGAGAGGCAGGCAGAGGGAGAGAGAGGAGAAAGCAGGCTCCCTGCTGAGCAGAGAGCCCGATGCGGGGCTCGATCCCAGGACTCTGGGATCATGACCTGAGCCGAAGGCAGAGGCTTTAACCCACTGAGCCACCCAGGCGCCCCTGGAGCCAACTTTTTTAAAGAAGGAAACTTTCAACAGTGTTACACCCTCTGTTATTATTATTACAGACTTAAGAATGATAAACAAACACGATATGGTCTACTCCTTCACTCTGAACCTACATTAGTGAAGGCCTCCTTGGGGATTTAATCCATATCTCTTATTATTATCTCTATCCTCATGTACTTTTGGCATATTTTGTGCCTACTCCCTAAACCTATGGACAGATCAACGGGGCCACATTAGAAGTTTAATATCAGCTCGGTAGAAATAGGGTTTCTTCAGGTAAAACAAAGGCAGGATGACGTTTTCTCAGTTGTTTTTTCATTGTTTCTTTCTTGTTTTATAGCTTTTTTACCAGGGATCTCCCGATGTAAGGTCTATGTGATGATGAGGGCTGCATTGGAGACTTTTTCTACCACCATCACCTCCATATCTCCTGGGAATAAAGAAGGAGAGAAAACTACAAGTACTGATGATTTTTCTAGCCCTTTGAAAGAAGGTACAGAATAAATAGGGGTGAGACAAGAATAGAAAGGAAAAGAAACACTTTTAGCCCCAACATGAGTTTGGGTTTTCTAGGATTTTCTGGGAGGCTGAGAAATTACATGGATTTTACATCAGAAAATCACTCCATTTCTTCTCTAAACAAGGTCCCAGAAGTGTATGTAGTTTGACACTATTAATAATCTTTTACTTCCACATAAATGAGCTTGTGGCCACTTTTGGGGACAGAATGAATTGTATTTGTGTGGCGGGAATTCCAGCCATTGTGTGAATAGACAGACAACATTTAAACACTAAGCATCATCACAGTGAGGACAATAACCAAGTGCATGCTTTCATCTGCACTGTTTTTAGGAAATGGCTCTCCCTAAATTGGTCAGACTCGAATTCTGTTTAGCTTACATTCCAGTTCTCATGGGAGAGATGTAAATATAAGATTAGTAATAACAAGATGCATGTAAGGCATTTATCCCTAAGTTTGCCTTTTGACCCAGAAGAAATGCCAAATCACCTTTGTTCCTCCTACTCCACACTACAGTCAAGCGAAGCACAGGAAAGGTGGTTTTCTGATCCCACACAGTATGTCTGTCTGAGCACAAGGGGAGAGACCGAGAGGGTGCTGCTGGTGAAAGACAAGTTCAGAACTCCTTGCGCACTCACCGCCCCACCTCCCCTGAAAACAATGCAAGAATCACTCCTACTTGATCATGGCCAATCCCAAATCCCAGGGAGGGTGACTCATTGGGAAGAGGCTGCAAAGGAGGTTACAGCAGAGCCCATGAGGCCCACCCCACTCCTGACTCTGAGTCTGAATTGGAATTCAGCCTATTGTCTCTGCATCAGGCTGGACCCCTGTTAGTCTGGGGACCTAGAAGAACTTCAAGTTACAGTATCAATCTCTTCCCTCTCTCAGGTTCTCTCTTCTCCTTCTCCTCCTCTCTCTCCTTTTAGACACAGATGAGAACCTAAAGAAGAGGCAGAAATGGAGCATTGTGGTCAAATTTCTGATTGCTATCACCCTGTTGTTGAGTGGAGTTGCCATTATAGTGTTTGTCATTTTTGAAGTCCCATGCCCTGTAAGTTTGTGGATGTATTGGGTCCCTGGACTTGATCTATAAAGACTTTCTTCTGGGGCTGCCTGGGTGGCTCAGGTGGTAAGCACCTAACTCTTGATCCCAGCTCGGGTCTTGATCTCAGGGTGGAGAGTTCATGTCCCGCATTGGGCTCCATGCTGGGCATGGAGCTTACTTAAAAAAAAAAAAAAAAAAATGTTTATAAAGCTTTCTTCTTCTGTTCCAGAGTCAGGTTCACATAATGAAAAAAGCACAGACTTTGGGGTTTGGATAGAACTGCCACTCACATTCACTAGCTGAGTGGCTTTGAGAAAGTTGCTTGACTTTTCCAACAAGATTTGGCTCATCTGTTAAATGGGACAAATGATATTTTCCTCTTATGGTGCTTTTGAAGGTTAATTAAGATCCTGTGTGAAAGGCACCTGGCACATTGGCGTTGCTTGCTGAATGTGAGTTCCTGACCCCTGCTGTACTTGGACATTCTCTACAGAGGATGGATCCAATGAGATGGAGTGTTTTCTTTAGAAATGACACTTTTCTTTAAATGGTCTGACAGGAGGTTTGGAAGGTACCAAATGTATACCAGCTATCTAAAATTAACACCAGTCACTTTTTTCCTTCAGAGTCAATGCCAGGGAACCAGAGAACTATGCCAACGCCAGCGGTTATGGAGAAGGCAAAGGAAGGCAGGCCAGCAACCTGGGGCAGCTGAATCCCAGCTTGAGTCTCAGCCCAAGAAGGAAAGTGTTCTCTGTATGGTTTATGTCATTTGCTTGGGGGAAAATGAGGTTCATATATAAGTGCTGGGAGACAGGGAGATGTTTCACTTATGAAGCAAATATCGGTGTTTCTTTTATGTGTCAGGAAATACAGGAGGTATTTGTATTATTGTTTTATTATCCTCACATCAGCCCAGCCTTAACATAATAGAGTATTTATTTAAAATATATTATTTCAGGGGCGCCTGGGTGGCTCAGTGGGTTAAGCCTCTGCCTTCAGCTCAGGTCATGATCCCAGGGTCCTGGGATCGAGCCCCACATCGGGCTCTCTGCCCAGCAGGGAGCCTGCTTCTCCCTCTCTGCCTGCCTCTCTGCCTACTTCTGCCTACTTGTGATTTCTCTCTCTGTCAAATAAATAAATAAATCTTTAAAAAAATAAAATAAAATAAAATATATTATTTCAGAGACCCAGCTATAATCAGTCAAAATGTCTAGAGTGGGGCCAGGAAACTTATTTTTTAAGATTTTTTAAATAACCCTAAGTAGAGGTGGATTTACTGTGAAATTAATAACGTTTAAACTTCAGGACCCACGGGACTTGTATGAAGCTTGTATCAAATTTTGTATTCTTCAAATTCATATTCTTTTTCTTAAAATTGTCTTTTTCTTAAAATTGTCAAATTGTCAGAGTTCAGAACCCACAGAATATGTACCCATCCCTGCCCCTAGGTAACTCTTACAACACCCTGCAAAGTTTGAATAGTTGGCAAAGTAGCTTCTTTCCTTCTGGCCCTTGGTTTCCCCAAGCGTCCTAAGCTCATGTTGCCCTTTGGTGTTTAAAATAGACACAACACCACTGTTACAGTGCAGCTGTCTTAAATCCAGTCTCCCTGTCAGAAGTGTGCCTTCTCTACAACATCCACAACACTCACTAAGATGAGGCCTCCAATACTTTCAAAATTAAAGGCGCAGGGGGTGGGGGCACCTCAGTGGCACTACTGGTTAAGTGACCAACTCCTGGTTTTGACTCAGGTCATGATCTCAGGGTTGTGAGATCGAGCCCCGCGGTGGGCTCCTCACTCAGCCGAGTCAGCCTGAGATTCTTTCCCTTTCTCCCTCTCCCTCCATCTCTGCTCCTCCTCCCCCCAGCTGCACTCTTTCTCTAAAATAAATGGATGAATAAATAAAATATTAAAAAAAAAAAAAAATTAGGGGCGCCTGGGTAGCTCAGTGGGTTAAAGCCTCTGCCTTTGGCTCAGGTAATGGTCTCAGGGTCCTAGGATCGAGCCCTGCATCGGGCTCTCTGCTCAGCGGGAAGCCTGCTTCCCCCTCTCTCTGCCTGCCTCTCTGCCTACTTGTGATCTCTCTTTCTCTCTCTGTCAAATAAATAAATAAAATCTTAGAAAAAATAAAATTAAATTAAAGAAGGAATCCACTTTTGCAGAATTAGAGCACTGAGAATGGGTCTCAAAGATGATCTAGTCCAGGATGGTACATGCGCCTACTCTTTAATTCTGTGTTGACTGCACATATCAATGCACAGTACACGGGAAGCTGAGTGAGTTCTGGAGATCCAACACACAGAATAGTGATTATGGTCGACAAGACTGTATTACAGACCTCAAAACTGCTAAGAGACTAAATCTTAAATGTCCTTGCCACCAAAAGAACTGGTAATTATTATGACATGATACAGGTGTTAGGGTAATAACCATATTGCAATATATAAATGAATGCAGTTGGGCGCCTGGGTGGCTCAGTTGGTTAAGTGTCTGCCTTTGGCTCAGGTCCTGATCTCGGGGATCCAGTCCCACGTCGGTCTCCCTGCTCAGCGGGGAGTCTGCTTTTCCCTCTGCCTCCCCCCCATCCTTATTCATGCTTGCTCACTCTCTCTCTCTCAAATAAATAAATTTTTTTTTAAATGTATGCAGTCAACATGCTATACACAAACTTACACAATGTTATATGTGAATTATATCTCAGTTTTTGAAACCAAAGCACAACACTCTTTCTATCCAGCCACGGCATCAGAATATTTCTTATCACACTGTTTCAGGTACCCAATGCCAACTTATTTGTCATCTCTGGTCTAGGTTACTATTTTCTATAATCTGGTTTCTGCTAATATTAGATAATGTGCTCATGTAAATTAGTATGATTTAATCACAGGACGTATGTTTAGTACTTTACTCCACTCTGCCTTATCATTTCTACTGAACACTGGAAGAAATAGGCCTGAAGGGGAATAAAAAACCTAGTCCAGAATTAGAGGTAACTACATAGTAGCTACACTGAATTCTTCCTACCAACAAAAGAAGCTACCAAATCATAAAAGAATTGATAAAAAGAATAATGAGCAACTTTATAGACATTACCTCATTTGAGCCCACAAAAACTGTGGGAGGTAGCTACAGCAGGTATCCACATTTTATTGATACTTAAACTGAGGCTCAGAGAGGTTGTGTAACAAACAGCTGGTAGAAACAGAAAGGAAACCCAGGTCTTTCATTCCTATACTAAAATTTTACTGAAAGCCTTTATACACCAAGTTCCTTACCTTTAAGAGGGTCACACTCTATGTTCATAATTTTTTTTTAAAGATTTTATTTATTTATTTGACAGAGATCACAAGTAGGCAGAGAGGCAGGCAGAGAGAGAGAGAGAGAAGAGAGAGGGAAGCAGGCTCCCTGTTGAGCAGAGAGCCCGATGCGGGACTCAATCCCAGGACCCTGGGATCATGACCTGAGCCAAAGGCAGAGGCTTTAATCCACTGAGCCACCCAGGCGCCCCTCTATGTTCATAATTTAAGCCTTTAGAAAGAAAACAGAAAATCAGATGGGACATGGAATTAGATATACCAAGAGTGGAACGGGATTAGTAAAAAAACATTTGGTCCACAGAGACTCAGATCTCCGTCTCTTTTCAAACATAGTGAGACTGTGTGGGTCTGATTCAAGAAATGAAACAGAATCCCTGTACCAAGGCGATCCACAGTACCTGCATACCCAGAGCCTTTTCCATTCAAAGCAAACGGGTTAAGCAAGGGGTGAATGGGCTCTTTGCTACTGGTTTATAGGGTCCAACCAATTGTAGGTTCTCATGCATAAATAAATGTACCTTGCTGATACTTTCTATGTAAATACAATAACTTTTCCTAGAATTTCTGGATAACAAAGAGCCAAAATGATATGTACTTGGCATTAAATGGGGTTGGTACATGAAGGAATACCCATTTGCATCCTCTTTATCGCTCATTTCCTTTCAATCTCTAGGTTGGACAAGATGCTCCCAACTCATCAAGTCCAAGGAAAGCTGCAAGGATCACTATCATCCACGAGACATACTTCTGAAAAGCTCTTCTCTGCTTCACACATTGAATGAAGGATACCGCACTGTCTTTTCCCTGTCATTAACCAATATTGGCAGGTTCTTGTGAATTCACTCATTATGTCCAGCAGGGACATTATAATCAAACACTATGCCAGGCCAATTTAGGAAGAGCCTGGGCTTAGAAGTCAGGCTTACCTTCATGCCACTGCTACTGTCTTAGCCACATGCCTCTGAGATTCACGTCACCCATCACGGAAAACGGGTATCTTTACATCCCATCTAATGAGAACAAAAAGTCTTCCCTCTGAGCACTATGAATGGACCTATTGCTTTCTTTGACAAACGGTTCACACACAGCCTCCAAGTGGCAAAGCAGCCACTGGTGTGGCACTGTTTACGAGCTCCTCTGTTTCCTCACAGCTGAGTTCACTCCCACTGGCTCTCGGCTGGCTGAGGGTGGGGGTTCCTGTTTTCCCAGGCTGATGTTCATAGCACTTTATGATTTAGCCTCTGCCCTACATGGGGCTATCCACACACTGGTGAGGGGAACATGACGCTAAGCATTCCAGAAGTCCTCCTTCTACGTCATCCCCAAGGGGCTTAGGGACTGCATAAAATATGAGGTTTCCTATAATTCACAACTCTTCAAGTGGGCCTGACATTACACCCTAAACCACAATGTGGAGCTGCATACATTTTGAACAAGGATTCCACACAAAATGATGATGGATGATTTTTCTTACAAAGGCACACTCTGAGTCAAATCTGACCTGCTCAGGTGAGAGTTTGGCGAGGAAGCAGAAACCGCGGTTGTTGAAGGGAACAGGTTAGGAAAAGGGATTGGCAGGTGGGATAAGACTGTTGTCCTGCTCATAATATCAGAGTCTTGAAACCATTCCATTTCATTTTGGCAAGATGTAACTGTCACTAATCCTGTTTTCTTAGTTTTCTGTAAAAACCACATATGGGTTGTATCCTTCTCCCCTTCCCATCAGGTACTGCCCCCAGAAAGTGGTTCTAAAAACTATACCAACAGGAAAAAATATCTTGCTCCAAACCCCAATTTATTATTCAAGCTAAGCCTGGAAGAGATGGAACAGATACAAAGCATAGAAGATGATAGTTTTGAAATACAGGAGGTGGAGGAGAGGACAGAGGACTGGGGGTGCCATTTGGATAAATGAGTATATTATTTCACCTCACACGGATTCACAACATTGCCTCCAGTTTATCCTGCCATCTGTGGTTGGATCTAACCATGATATGAGAGGGAAAAAAGCTTGCTCCTTCCCAAGACCACTAGGGAGGATGATTACAAACATTCTATACTTAGAAGCTCTTGGTCAAGGACTGATGCCTACATTCATCTCCACCCTTCCCAGCTTCGACCACAACAGAATGTCCTTTAATCCAGAAACATGAGGTTCCCCAGGAGATGAAAACTGTGGCAAAGTTTACATTTCTTAAATCTTCTGCAAGACTGTGATTTGGGTAATATTTGTACTGACTTTACAGAAAGTCACTGATGGAATCAAAAGTGTGTATTGTAACTATGGAGTATTATGCCTCCATCAGAAAGGATGAATACCCAACTTTTGTAGCAACATGGACGGGACTGGAAGAGATTATGCTGAGTGAAATAAGTCAAGCAGAGCGAGTCAATTATCATATGGTTTCACTTATTTGTGGAGCATAACAAATAGCATGGAATACATGGGGAATTAGGAGAAGGGAGTTGGGGGAAATTGGAAGGGGAGGTGAATAATGAGAGACTATGGACTCTGAAAAACAATCTGAAGGGTTTGAAGAGGTGGGGGGTGGGAGGTTGGGGAAACCAGGTGGTGGGTATTAGAGAGGGCACGGATTGCATGGAGCACTGGGTGTGGTACAAAAACAATGAATACTGTTATGCTGAAAATAAATTAAAAAATGATTAATAAAAAAAAAGTGTGTATTTTAGGGGCACCTGGGTGGCTCAGTGGGTTAAAGCCTCTGGGTCATGATCCCAAGGTCCTGGGATCGAGCCCTCCATCGGGCTCTCTGCTTAGCAGGGAGCCGGCTTCCCCCTCTCTCTCTGCCTGCCTCTCTGCCTACTTGTGATCTCTCTCTCTGTGTGTCAAATAAATAAATAAAATATTTTTTAAAAATTTTTTAAAAAGTGAGTATTTTGCTTTGTGGACAACTTGTTTCCTCTGACGGAGCATTTTCTGAGGATTTTCTGACTCCCTAATTAGTTAACAGTTTTGAATCCCACATTCTCTTACTGGTAGGGGATCTTCGAAAACTGAGAGACTGGAGAGACAGCAGAAGGGAAGGGAGAACTCTTACATGGAGTTTGGGATGTGAACTTTTAGCCTGCAGATCCCTTTCCAGCAAGACACAGTTCTCCCTGTCACCACCATAGACTCAGCTACAGATTCAACTTGATAAAACAATTTCTAAGGAGTGCCAATTATTCCTCTGGGAAGTGACAAGCCAGCAAGATTTTTATTGCAAATTTATTCTCATTAAGTTACCACACTTTGTTTTTTGATCATTAAAGGACATTCTCATTACAACAAGTTTTAGGAAATGCTGGAAGGTGTAAAGAATAAATGAAAAAACAAGAAAGAAGGCATACCTAATCCCACCTTCCAAAGATAACCACTGTTAATACTTCGATGTGTCTCTTTATAGACATTGTAAAGACACGTTTCACAAATCACATCATATTCTCCATACCATTTTAAACCTGTCCTTTTTTGTTTAATGCATTACTGCTGTGTTTCTAGCAGTTGGCATAAGTAAGTTATTTTTTTTAAGATTTTTTTAAAAACTTTAAGTAATCTCTATGCCCAGCATGGGGCTTGAACTCATGACCCTGAGATTAAGAGTCACATGCTCTACTTACTGAGCCAGCCAAGTGTCCCCAGTTGGCACAAATATCAAGTTGTGCTTTTTTTCAAGTCTTAGCGTTGAGAAACTTGGAAGTCATTCTATCTTTTTGAAAGGCTTAAGTCACCCTAAAACTTTCTAATAGGCCCAAAGATTAAGGTGGGTAATTGCTTAGGACAGAAAAGGCACATTCACAGGAACCCTCTAATTTAAACTCTTAAAGGTATTGCTGAATCACTTTAATTATTGCGATTATGTGTTAAAAGCATAACTTTCTTCAATATAAAGACTTAAAATACAAAACAGTTTTATATTCTGTTTTGCCATTACTTTATTTTTTTAAGAGAATTGTTTTTTTTTTTTAAGATGTTATTCATTTATCTGACACAGAGAGAGAGAGATCACAAGTAGGCAGAGAGGCAGGTGGGGGGGGGGGGAGCAGGCTCCCTACTGAGCAGAGATGTGGGGCTCGATCCCAGGACCCTGAGATCATGACCTGAGCGGAAGGCAGAGGCTTAACCCACTGAGCCACCCAGGCACCCCGCCATTTCTTTATTTTTAACCTGTGATTCATTTATATACCTGTGATCTCAAAAATCAAAGCAACCGAGGACAGTCTGGACCTCTGAAGGCCTGAGGAGGACATTAGCATCCCTCCTTTTCTGGGTTACTAATCAGAGAGAGGACTTAAGGATGGTTCTCTCCTAATCATCATCTACCCCTATCCTTCTTATTTTAGAGCCTCTTTGAGCAGTGTTCAGCGGATTCTGACCCAAAGCACTTTCCCTATGTTTATGCCCAGAAATAGACATTTTCCAAGGAAGAGTTGCTATATGTACTTATGACTAGGAGCCAGGAACCCTTCTTTTTTCTTTGCTTTGGACAGGTTGACAGTCTTATGGCTCCTCCTTGCCTCACACTCAGATCCTCCACTCTCAGAAGGGATTTTATTTCTGGAGTTCACAAATCCTGCCCCAATTTGGCATTTACCTTTTCCTGTATACTGCCTTAGTCCTGAAGCCTGTAATTGCTGAGTTAAATTGTATATGTCTATATTACTTTGAACCTGACAAAGCACCATGTGCACAGCAGACACTCAGAACATATGCTGATAATGTCACTCCACTAAATGGATAGCTGAGAGGAGCATAACTGACTTCCTGGAAGAAAATGAGGTAAGCTTTACTTTAAATCAAAGCTGCTATTGGTCACCAGGTAAATGCAAACCAATGAGAGACCTTCCTGGAACTGTTGGTAACACTTGAATTTATCTCTCTGGACTTTTTTTTTTCTTCTCTTTCCCATATTTCTTTATCCCTTCATCTTTCTCTTCCTGTTATTCTAACACTTTCCTTTTTCCTTTTCCTTATGCAGTGACCTGGTGTACCAGTCATCAATACCAGAAATTTCCTTTAATCTGAATTCCTAGAGAACTTGGATCTGTGTCTATGGTTAGATTTCAGGTCCCCAAAGCCTTTTTCCTAACTAATTTTTTTTCATGTGGTAGAGTGTAGCAATGGGCGCACCTTGGGCTGGAATATACAAACTTTTACCAGATGCTTGTGAATTTGCGCCACCCAGTGGCCAAAGTCGCTAACTTCATCCTCTAAAAAAAGTGGGCAAAAATAAATGAAAATAAGCAAATGTAAACAAATGTGAAGTCCATATATATTATTGGCCCAAAGGGGGGAAATACATACATAACAGCAAAATTCTGTCCTACTTTAAGTCTATTTTCTAAAATTTAAAACAGGATGCAGAAGGATATGTTCAGAAGTATAGTGTCATGGTCTCTACAGAATAAGATGATGTCCCGAAGACTCTCCAAGGATTTATTCAGGTCATGACTGCTCCCTAATGTACTAGAAAAGAAGAATAAACAGTGCAGCCTATATTACAAAGTACTTATTGCCCTCTAGAAAAACCAAATATTCAACAGAAGAGACAATGAATTTGAAGACTTATAAACTATACACATTATAATACCAGATAGCAGTTTATTTCTTTTATGATGAATCTTCCTGGGCAGGGGACGGAGGGTAGTGCCTGGGTGGTTCAGTCAGTTAGGCATCTGACTCCTGATCTCAACTCAGGTCTTGGTCTCAGGATTAAGACTTTAAGCCTTGCACTGGGCTCCATGCTGGGC